CACGGGGATGATTTTTCTATCGCATATATTCGAAAGTCCGCAAAATGCCGACGAAACAAAATTTTGCTTTACTTATTTCACATTCCTCGTATGGGATTTTTAATTAGTAGGAATCGTACATTGAGCATTGATCTTCAACCTAGAGTTACCACAATACCGTGTCGGATTCAGGGGCAGGTGTGCGGAGCTGCAATTAGTCCCTTTTATGAATGAATTTATGAAATGTTCGTGGAGGTCTAGGGAAGGTTTAAAAGGTGAGAAAAATTATAATTATTGCCGGGAAAACACGAACAACAGCTCTTTTCTTTTTCCCACATAAACGTTTTTATCTGAAGAAAATGTAGAGTCTTTTTTTGTTTTTGTTGTTGTTTGTTTTAAGATTATTTTATTCAAAAGTTTAGCTCTTTCATTTATCTACTGAGGCAGTACGAAGTCTGCCGGGTCAGCTAGTATACCATAAGATTTCATATACAAGGGTCGTTTAATACGTACTTAGAACATAAGTAGAAAACCCATTTTTTTGTTTTTTTTATTTTTCCAAATTATACCCTTTTGTCTGAGCGTTTTAAAAAAAAAAATCTGTTTTGGACGATTCTTTGGAAGATTACTGTAAAATTTTGTCCGCCAAGCCATTTCTTCAAGCCTGGAACCGAGAAGTAGTCATTTTAACACAAATTAAATTAGAACAAAAAAAATTCAGATTTTCACAGTTTTTTAGTTTAAACACTTTTAAACACAGTTTAAAACTGTGAAAATCTGAACATTTTTTGTTTTAATTTAGTTTGTGTTAAATGGATTTTCATCAAGTAAAAGTTACCTCAGTCCGATTTTTAGTCATTTTAATACCATAATTTTGGCTGTTGCAACTGTGCCGGTGTGCACTCGTGCATTGTCTGGATGGAACAGGATATTTCAATAGGCTCTGGCTGTAACCTTATCGAAACCCGTTCGCGTTCAAAAATCCACTGTTTCGAATGTTCTTTTGTCTCTGGAGTGTAGTAATGTATCTATGTTTCATCAAAAGTAGTATATCAGCATCAGGGTCAACTACACGATTGCCCTTATTCTTTACTATGAGCAAACCACTCTACTTTGCGATAATACGGTGACTTTAACCATTTCGTGCACGTTTGTTACCATTTGTTATCAGTTGCAGACATAGCGTCTTTGGCGTCAACCCTTTTAAATACAAGTGCTCAATCACAACTTTTTTTCATTTTTATAGACAAATTAAAGCTCTTTATTTCAATCCACAACAACAATAAAACTAAAAAATTGAACAGCTAAAGAGGTTGGCTTTTCTAAAGACGTATTGAACGACCTTCGTAATATCAAAATCCTCACTCTCATTAAAAAGTGTACCTTTATATTAATTAAACGGGATAGTTTGGATGGAGGCAAAATAACAGTAATCCCATCTGAGGAACAGTGTAGGACTCTAGAAGCGGCTGCGCAGATTTTGAGTGCGACGGACGGACCCCACGCGTTTCGAACGAGCCTTCTATAAGGGGTCACACAAAAAAAGCCGTAACGGCCGTCATGTTATCTTAATAATGGTACTCTAAGCGTCTGTCAATCTCGATATCTCTCGGGGTCTTCGCTTACACGAATCTCGAAAACCGCATTAATCATCTCGGGTCATTTTTTTCCCGCCGATTAAAATTTATCGACGCACCGAAGTTGGTACGTCATTGATGCATGGCCGCGGGTAGAGGCTACTGGTCCGAGGTCTCCCCATTTACCGATTTTTTTTTTATTTCAGCTCTTTTGATTATCTTATAATATAAGAAAAACTAACATTTATCATATTGTAACCATCAAATAATCTACAAGGATAACACCTTCCGCATCTATTTCTAGCAAATCCGGTGTTGCCGGTCATGTTCATATCAGACGTGACACCCATCGTCCAGGCATCTTTTTAGGAGCTAATTATTGGTGTCAAATAGTTTCAACGGAACCTATAATCCTGAACTATGAATTTGCTCTGAGAGACAATATCGAAGTTGCTTACCCATATTTATAATATTTTGTTCGTAGCAAATATTCTTGTAACAGACTTTTTTTTTAAATTTCACTAGAATTCCTCCTGTACGAAGACGTGCCGTGTTATGGTTTTAGGTGCAATGCCAGTTATAAGCAGGCCACCTATACACAAATGAACTTTCAATTCCAACAGCTAGTGTAACTCATCTTCATGACATACGAGGAGAGAGTTAAAATCAAGAATCGGGACCAAGTTAGAAGATGGTTGATCCTTGAACATTTTAATGTGAGCAGAACAACCGTTTTTTCGAATTTATACAACGTGGAGACAGGAAGAAACGTGTGAACGGAAAAGGGGATCTGGTAGATGAACGTTATAGTGTCCAGTGTGGAACAGCTTTACCCGAAAAATATATTTTTTTCCAACAAGACAGCAGTTGACAAAACAGCTAAACTGAACCATTCGATATCCACAAGGATAAAATATTACAAAACTTATATGAATATGTGTTTTAATGTTTATTACTCAAAATGTTTCGCATAAACCTTTAGCCTTTAGATCCCATATTGGACGTCAAACCGAACTTTGTTTCGTCAAAATGTGACGGCCCGATGATGTGTATACTGCTCAAAATAACAGGTGTTTTTTTTAAGCGTGTAGAACTTTGAATAGAACAAAGATGAGTTTTAAATTCACATGAAATTTACTTTATTTATTGGCATTATAACTTAAATATGACTTCTGGCCTGGCCTGGCACTGGCTGTCTCGGACGTAGTTTAATCTGGAAATATTAGCAATCAGCAAACAGAAAATTGTTTAGCCAAACGTGAAACTATGCAGTTACCTTTCGTTCAATAAATCAATTGTGACACTTGCTGGGTGACCTGTTGCGCCGTCTTGTTGAAACCACATCATAGTTGCGCAATTGATGAACGAAAAAGTCACCATTGACTGTAAGGACCAATTATTCCATTAGCTCATAAAGCACACCAAACTGTCAGTTCTTTTGGAAGTAACGATGACTCAACATACAATTAAGGATCATCATCACTTCAAATATGGTAATTACGTTTATTGACAGCCAGAAGTGAGCTTCTTCAGTCACACGCTTGTGAGCGTGTGACTTCAATTCTTAGACTAGTTGGATATTGCAAGCATACAAACCAACATCTTTCCTCAAAATCTTCCTGTACACGATAGCCGAGAGTGATTGAAGTCTTCCTTTACAGCAGCAATGACTTCTTCTGTACGCTGTGACAAAATGGCCAACTTAAAGTTCTGTACTTCTAAAAAGTGGGATTTTTGAGCTCTATCACTTGTTTATGACACTAGTTGTACGAACTATCGTTTCGTTAGTCTTAAAATTTAAAGAAACAATGTCAACATAAACTAAAATATCACAGACACAATATTAATACCTCTCACTCGGTGAAATCGTTTGAAGTCGCTTGAACGTAAAGATTGTTTTTGTTGTTTTAAAAGGTTTGTTTTGTAGCAGCCATTGAGATTATTTAGCGCAGAGTTCATTTTGTGCCCTAAAGGACAGGGACCAGAGGCACTCCGTGTTTGATAGGTTTCAGTTTAACTTTTTTAACCAATTGCTTTCTATTGCTTAAAAAAGTTTGCAAAAGTTTCATGTATTGTATTGTATTGTATTTCATGTAATATTAACAAAATATATTACATTTATTTGGAGATGCAATTGAAATGTATACTTCGACCAGAAATATAGTGCTTTTACAACCGACCCCGTCACTAACTTAGCCTACTGCCAAGCAGACCCTTACCCGTGACCATTTGATATTTTACCAATGGATTTTACCAGGGTCCTGCGAAGGTCTGCGGTTAAGGTACTGTAAAATACTTACAACGTCAAAGCAATAAATGCACTATATTTTTGCTCGTATTATAACACACTGTATTTGGACGGACCTCGTATGTAATGTATACGGGCGGTTTTTTCGCATAGCAATTCGCTAATAAACTTTCATTCATTCGTAGCGGGTGGGCAAAAAACCGCGGGAATCGTAATTAAACAGTTAGCCTCGGCGTTATTGTTAGTCAAATTCGAATCGAGCATGGCCGGCATGGGAACACAATGGGACGCGAGGAACGCCGCCTCATTATCGTGTGACGCCGTGGATTCTTGCGGCCGTCGTTTGTTTATTTAATTAAAATCGGTGGGCGGGGCCCGCTCAGCTACCGGGGCACGTCGAGGAATTTTCAGCCGATATTTTTTTCGTCCCCCGCCGCGCCGCCGCACCAGGTGAATCACCCGGTTAATTAATTGGATGGATGTTTTTGCCGCGCATCACCTAATTGGTTTTGCATAGTAGATGGATCTAACGCGATACCGATAGGTCTCGAAATTTTGCCAGTCACTTTTAAGGTCACATCAAATGCGGTACGAAATTAGCAGTTAAGCCAATATGGTCCGAGCGTGAAATTAATTTCTAGATGAACTGCAAACTGTGTTAAGCGTAGCTAGACCCATAGACAAATGAAGTGTGTTAACTATAACACAATTGTTGGTTGGTATCTGGTTCATTAAATAAATTTTCCCCTTAATTCGATCGTTCGCTTAAGACTAGGAACTAAATGTTAATTTAATGTCGCCATTATCGGTTAAAACTAGGGTTGTGGAATTGACCGGTCAAATTATTTGTGTCAATTTTTAAAATACCATGAAATTTACATTTATTTATTTAAATTTACTTATATTGTGCGTTATTGAGTCGATATTATTATTGGTATTCCCCGAATCGCTAAGTATCGTACTCGGATATTAATTGAAAAGGGTAATAGGTAAATTGAACCGACCAACCAAATAGTTGTGTACCATTTAAAATTGACTGTTTTACCTTTTTGTGGACTTTGTATCATTCTGAAAGACCCACATGTCACCTGTCACGATATCATAGACGTGTTTGGAAGCACCGCGATCGTATCAAACGCGAACAAATGTTCATGCAGAATTGTATGTTTTTTGGTCCCATTAATGCCCAAAGATACCTCAATCTCATGGGAAGTCACATGACGATCCTGCAAAATCAGTTTCCGCACTGCATCAATGTTTTCTTGGACAACCACCGATTTTGGACGATCTTCACACAAGTCATCCTTAAAAAAACCACGACCACGACTAAAGTCCGAAAACCAGCGATAAACAGTATTCCTAGATTGTGCTTTAACTCCAAAAGTCGAATTAAGTTCATCGATGCATTATTGTTCCGTTTTTAACCGTCACAATGTTTTTAATTTATTACAACAACACTCTTTCGCCAACACCTAATTGAGTAAACTTAACCTCAAAATGTCAAACTTCCCTGTAAAAACGTTAGTCGCCAGATGGCAGGACTAGTTTAAGAAAATCCCGAAATATAAATGGCAACCCTCGTATACGCATTGGGGACTTATTTTTATTATACAGTAAAGCCGCGTTTTTTTTATTTTTCTTTTTTTTTAATATTTTTTGATTTCACACGGCATATTTATGCGGCGTCCTCGATATCTGCGGTCTACTTCCACCTTTTGCGAGATAAAACTTACATAAAATTATAAATAATTAACCCGGTAGCGTTAATTCGTGTGTGTGTGTGTGTGTATGTATGATTTATGAAAATGGGAAGGCACCAGCACACCTACCACTATTTATGTACGTAATTAAATTATAGATAGATCGCTTATTGCCCCGCGTATCAGAGCGTTGCTTTCGGAACAAATAGCTAGGCTCGTCGACGTTGCCACTTCGACGACGTCTATGGCCGTTGCTTCTTCTATCGCGCGAATCCACTTTAGCGCCTATAAGTTCAAGGAAGTGGGCAATGGCGGTCAATGACTAAACGACCTTGCGGATTCCTACTAGCCCCGCGTTGCCACATGCTCTCGTTTTATTTGTTCTCTTTTTCGATTATCGTTATTCTAGCCAATTTCGCTGCGCCCCCCGAGGGGCGGCGTGACCGGGGGAGGTTTCGCAGCGCGGGTAGGGTAATGGGTATACCGCGAGTTGCATAACATCGAGCAATCTGTAATTGGCCGTTTTGTGAGTCATTGCCGCCCTCCCGCCAGGCCCCCGGGGTATACTGGTCGGGGGCGGTACCCGATCCTAACGGAAAAATTGCTTTGAAGCATGCGAACGTTCTTCCTTAGTATGACTTCCTCTGACCAATAGATTTTAATATAGATTTTTGGTATTTAATTAAATTTAAATTTAATTAAATTAAAAGAAAAATTGGAGGAAACCTCTTTTCAATTGGAGTAATAAGAATTTGAAAAATTCAGAGGTTTGTCTGTTGGCTTCTTCAGAGCTTGACTGAAACTGGCTCGCATTGTACTCTGTACCTGTGTGTATATTGTTTGAGGGGGGCGGAGCTAAATGAGGGGCAAAACATGACTGATTCCCATATTGGTGACAGGTAAAGGCCTGAGCCTAGTTGATATTTTTCGTCCGATCTCTGTAATGTATTCTTTGCCGCATAGAATAGAATAGAATAGAATAGAATAGAATTTATTGACCACGTTTTGTTGATACAATTGTGGCAAGTCATAGACACAATATGTAGAAATATATGTATATAAGAAACAAGACAATGAATAAATTATATACAGAGTCAAACTCCTGACTGGAACCTTCGGCGCAGCACTAACACACAATAACGCGTTTTACCACAAACCGAAACTCAATTTTACGTACCCGACGGGCGTTTCGCCAGTCAAGTTGGCATCTTCAGGAGAAGATTAAAACTAAACTTAATAGAACAAATGCTCTCTATATATATACACATCGGGAAGTGGGAGAGGGAATAACGCACTGTTCACGCAACCAATCAGCGCGTATAATGGGCTAAATGGGATTGGACCTCTGTCCTTGTTCAGTGCCTTATTCCCTCTCTTAACAATTTACATGTTAACTAATTTTGAATTACTTATATCTACCTTATGATTATTGTTGAACATATGGTCGGCTACACTTGATTTTTCTAATCTACCAAATTTTAAATGAGCTAAGTGTTCCTTAAATCTAACATTAATTGGTCTTTTGGTTTGCCCTACATATGAGTTGTCACAATCGTTACAACATATTTCATAAATTCCCGACTTCTCAAGAGTTTATCCTTGAGATTATCCAAGAGATTTTTTAATTTTGATCCGGACCGATAGACACTTCGAATACCTGCGGCCCTGAAGACTATCAAGTCCACTTGTATATTGGGTAGAGAAAGGAATTGAGACTACTTTCAAATTTTTCTTATCAGCTTAAAAAGTCGTTGATTTTTGAAGTTTGTTTTTAAATCTAAATTTCCTAATTAACTTATTCCTAATTCCCTCTCCCACTTCCCCATGTGTATATATATAGAGGAAGCAATATCAACAAAATTATCGTACTGCACAGTCACGTCGTTCACAAACGCACCGAGTAAAAGCAGTGCTTTTTAAGAAAGGTTAAGATTTTTTTTTCAAATTTTCTATTACTTAGAACTTTCATGTTAGCAGGTACATTACTGTACAAGTTTAAGTTTAATGATTTTTTTTGGCTTTTGCTATATTTGAATCTTGAAGCACGAAGTAGCTTGTTATTTCTAGTTCTAGTCATGGTAAGAGGACTTCTGACTGAATGTTTTTGTTTATTTCTAATAATTGATAATAGATCTACAGACAAAGAAGTGGCATAATTTCCAACTTCTTAAAAATTGGTCGACAGTACCCCAGATAACCTGCACCGGCAATCAAAGGAACAACTTTCTTTTGGAGTTTAAATGCCTGGTCTGCTGTGGCAAAATTACCCTAGAGAATAATGCCGTAAATTAGATGAGAGTGAAAAAGAGAAAAATAGGTAACTCGCAATCATAAAATATTCGAAGCAAGTTTTTTACTCAAGATGTTAATATGAGGGGCCCAATTTAAACTATCGTCAAGCGTTACCCCCATTGGATTTTTTGCCATAAGCCACAAACGATGTATCGTCCGCATAAAGTGTACATTTATTGGGAAACAGAAAATGATAAAAGTCAGTGATGTAAATAGTGAACAGTAGTGGACCCAAGACGGAGCCCTGAGGCAAGCCACTGCTCACAACCCTCAACTCCGACGTTATAGATGACACACTATCTTCTGTCAGTTAAATATGACCGGATAAGATCCTGACGGTGACCGCGGATACCGCTGGAAAACTTCCACTATCAATGCATTTGTTAAATAAAAATGTATTACAATCTGGTTGATAATCTGCTTCAAAATAATACTAATGATTAATATCATAATGGTCATAAGAACTAGATTTTTTCAATGCAATTACACAGTCTAAAACATCGCTTCTGCTATCCAGTGCAAGAAGAAAGATGAAGTTACATTTGGGATTTTATTCAGGCACTCACTCTGTACTGGGTTGACAGTTAGAGAGGCCAGAATATCAGCAGTAACAATGGTAAAAAACTCATTAAATCCATTGGGTAAAAGAGTGCTTGAAGGGTCACATATGCATGGAATGCTGCAAATCCATCTCAAATGGAATTTTGTCTTTAAGGGATCGAATGTGTCGAGAGATTTTTGGACAAGTGGCGAAATCTCGTTTTAACATTTTAACATTATAACAGTAACTTTTGATATGTGGTCAGTGAGGTTTTGAATGTAATGGAGCACAACAGTGGCAACTTTGGAGAAATGAGAATGAGAGCATAAGAAGAACATGCAAATTGGAAAATGTGAATGAATGGGTACACAGTAGAAATAAAGAAGAAGTATAAAATACGTCCTATTGTCAGCAGCATCGGAAACAATTTATCCATAAATGTTGTTTATTGCTTTGGCTGCCGGTTTCGACCTGTTCCATGAATGAATTGTGTCTCCTTTGGATATAATGTCTTCGGTCCTCACCATTATCTGTTTGACATCTAGTTCGCGACGTTCCTGTTTTCCCTCGTATTCGTTTGAGCAAAAAGCGGCGGTTTCTCATCCACAGACGTACCACGGGAACCGTATAGGTATTATTTCATTCTCCATTACCCATATTGCGCGCGTATATTTATTTATTTATTCCATAAGGAAGGCATATCGCGCGGGCTCGGTAAAAATGAAAAATCACGATCCCGACGGTATATCCATTTGTCCTAATGTGGGATCGCGAACGATACGCGAAGGATATAGCTTTAATTCTCCTTGTTTATTGTGACGATAAATCCTCGATAAAGACGGGGGCAAACGTAACGGGGCCGGGTCACGGGGTTGAATTCGGTCGAGGGCACTGTAACAGTTATTTTCCACTGTCTTTATTTGTTTCTCCTTTATAACCGAGCCTAGTTTTAGAACGACACACAGTTTTAGCCGCCAAAATATCTCTTTTAATTATATTATTTTTATTACGTAAATTTAAAAATGCTGTAATTGTTATTCATCGTGCTGGCCTCAATTATGGAAGTATATAAGTATTAGGGATGGACGCTCAAATGTTTTGGTAATAATATAATTGTTTTTTGTTTATTTACATATCTTATCTTATCTTATCAAATTACACGAAGAAAAAAAATGACATTTAATATATATAATAAATTTATAGGTCATGCCGCTAGGTATTAAAGGACAGAACATTAGGGACGGACGCTAAAATATTTTGGTAACATTATATATTTTTTTTATTTATTTAGATGGGAATAATCTTATTAAATTACACGAAGAAAGAACAATTACATTAAATATATATACAATAAATGTATAGCTCATGCAGCAAGGTATTAAAGGACAGAACGTTAGGGACGGACGCTCAAATGTTTTTTTAATAATATATTTTCTTTTTTTAGTTAGATGGGTATAACCTTATCAAATTACATATATGCCGCAAGGTATTTAAGGTACACAACTTTAGGGTCAGACGCTCAAATATTTTGGTAATAATATATATTTTTGTTTAGTTAGATGACTATAATCTCAAATGTTTTGGTAATATTTTTTTTGTTTATTTCGATAGGCATAATCTTATTAAATTACACGAAGAAAAAACAATGGCAATAAATATATACAATAAATTTATGGCTCATGCAGCTAGGTATTAAAGGACAGCACAAATGTTTTGGTAATAATATAATTTTTTTTGTTTATTTAGATATGTATAATCTTATCAAATTACACGAAGAAAAAAAAAGACATTTAATATATATAATAAATTTATAGCTCATGCCTCTAGGTATTAAAGGACAGAACATTAGGGACGGACGCTCAAATATTTTGGTAATAATATTTTTTTTTTTGTTTAGTTAGATGAGTATAATCTCAAATGTTTTGTTTT